CAGCTAGCCTTAAAAAAATTTTTGACGGGAAGTATTGATTTCCATTTTTCTGAAATTTGAATTGCCCAGAAAAACTTCAATTGCCCATCAAGCAACTTAAGGACAGAATTCACTGGCCCGATAGCAAAATCCACTACCCCCAGGCTATCGCACACTATTTTCTTTGCACCCTTTTGTTTGTGGGGGGTATTTATTAAAACTACAATTCCTAGTGCAATCCACACAAGGATGGTTCTGAAGGCTGCATGATACCTTTTTTTAATGTAAGTTTTTAGCATGAATAGTATAGATTTTTTAAAACAATATTTTTAGACATTTCAATCTTTACCTGTGTAACATAGTCAGCAGTAATTGGTAGGAAGTACACTTTGTCAGCCAGACCCTTTGAAGTCTGAACTGTGGCGATGTTGGGATTGACCAAAACTGTCTGAATCCCTTCCTCTTTTAAGGCTTTAACTGCCTGTTAAAAAATAATAAAAGGTAAAAGAAGCACATTCATAAACTGGATGAGAGCAACTGATCAAGGGGGGGAAGAAGAGGGTCCATCATAAGTACTCTATGTTTATTCCTCCAAAAGTAGAGCTTAAACAACCCTGCAAAAGTGATGGTTCTCTCAATAATACATGTAGGACTTGTTTACGGCCCTCTTTGTATAGAAAATAACACGTTCTAGTAGTTGTAAGTTTGTGTTTAATTTTTGAGCCCCTTTTTGAAGAAGTGATAGCTGTTGACACCAAGGTAGCAATGTGATGACGATCATAACTTTTGTGACTTTGCATATAGAGTAAATGTGTCACAAAATAGTTTATAGCATACCTGAGAGCCAGAGTAATCAAATTCTCCTGCCTGTCCAATGGACAAACCTCCAGAACCTAGAATCATGACTTTCTTAGGCTTCTTGTCTCTTGGAGACACCAAAGCTTCAAACTTAAAAGCATGCTGAATTTGATCTTTGACTGGGATCATCAGTTCTTTATTCTCCTTTTGCTGTCTCACTGATGATAAAAAGATGTCAAATAACATTTCTAGGTCTTGTGGTCCAGCCATGTGCTCTGGATGAAACTGGACACTGAAGAAAGGTTTGGAGTTGTGAATGATACCCTCATTTGTCTGATCATTTGCATTTGTGAACAATACAGACCAGTCAGATGGAAGAGAGTTTGTATCAATGGCAAAACCATGGTTTTGTGTTGTAATAAAGCAGCGCTTTGTTCCATGGTGTACACATGGAATATTGTGTCCTCTGTTTCCATATCTACAAAGGGAACAAAGAAAATACTGCTAGATCAAGAAAAATCATCAAACTCCAGCATTCAAGCCATATCCTACAGTGTAGGCTCAATTTTCTGTTGCTCTATTGAGTCAAGCCCTTATTCCTCCCCAGGAAGCCACTCTGCAGAGATGAGCGCTAGCTCATTTTTGTAGCGCAGCTGCTGGTAATTCAGCCTAGCCACACCCGGGCCAATACAAGACTGATTTTTTTTCACCACTCTATTCATACAAAATGGCATTTAATACAGAATGCACTCTCACTGTATTAGACAGGGTTATAACAAAGATAACCTGCATCCCCCCTGTGTTCAGCAATATCTAATTAAATGTAAAAGGCTGTCTCCCCTCTGGCTACTCTCTGTCTACATGTAAAACTCATACACGCCTACTTGGGCCATTCCTGACATCTACAATGAATGTTATACTTCATTGAAAGCACCAAACAGAGTCTGTTTTCAATATTGAGGAACAATGAGACATTGTATACAGTTTGTAAGAAATTCTACAGTTGTATCATGCCTTTTGAACATCTTACTTCATTTTGAAGCTGGTACATCCAGCCGCAAGTGCTAAGAGCTGATGTCCAAAGCAAATACCAAAAAGAGGCTTGGGGGTAGCACGCTCAATAAACTTTTTTATATTCTTGGTAGTCTCAGTAGTAAATGTTGGATCTCCTGGACCATTGCTCAGGAAAACACCATCACACTCTGCAAGTTAATACATTGTATCAAGTAGTTAAAGATGGTAGTGATAATGTGGCCAAAACTTTTTCTAATTGCCATTGCAAACAAAATGGTTGCAGCTTGGAGTTTTGCAGCACCAACTTTGTTGTTCCAATGTGTTTTGTAGATGTTTAAATTTAAAATGAGCAAACAAAGAAGAACAGACAAAACTCTTCCAGCTGAGACAAATGTACAATGTAAGAAAAGTTGAAAAACTTGCTTACCTCCTTTCTCAACATCAACATTAAAGTCATAATTCCAAGGCACAACTTTAACAGCAGCTCCCCTGGTCACTAGACATCTGATCTGGTTATACTTGATACCACAGTCCACAGCAATGATTTTAAACTCTCCATTAGGATTATAAACCTTCACTGCCTGGTTCAAACAAAAAAAAGTAGTCATGCTTTATATTGCTTATACACAAAACTCAAAGGACCGTAATGCCACAACGAGTTACAAACCTTAGATGAAACCTCAGCAACCAGATTCCTCTTATTTGGATCATCAAACTGAACAGTTGCTGGATCAACACCTTCTATTACAATTTTTCCTAACGTCATTCCTTCCTCTCTGATCTTTTTAGTAAGTGCTCGAGTGTCAATACCTAACCAAATAATTTAAATAATATTAGAGCACCAAATCTTCATATCCTTTGGGTTTGATTAATAACACAAGGCTGTGCTCTAAGGAAAATTGAAGGGAACACAGTGCTGTGAACCTGGAGGCTATTGCCACTGAAACAAAAGAAAGAACCTGTGAACTCCAGGGTGCCCAGCACATGATTTCTATGAAAAATCTAAGATTTTCTAGTCACCCAGGAGCAAAAGTTAGGTCCAAGGGACTACCGGGCACTACTAGAGAACAGCCTTGATGACAACAGTAAAAACGTTTTTTAACCAGTCAAAGTTGAGAGATGCATGTGCACCAGTTTAATTTTCATTTTTGTGCTTTACAGTATATCCATATGTTGACTGTGATGTTTGTTAACATTGTCGGTTATTATTCTGATGACTGATTGGAAGGGGACAAATACATGAAAGCTTATATAAACTTTTGGTATGACCTTATGCTGCTTTTATCCTTTTGGAACAAAAGAAGAAAAAAATGGTTACAGCTACATGTAGGCCATTTACCAAGTTCATGAGACAGAGGGTTGTCATTACTTGTATTTCTTGAATCGGTAGCTCCAGTGAGTAATGTACCCATTTTTCTATATTTCTTTTCTTTGACCAACTATATGGTAGCATCACTGCACCCATAATATGCACATCAAGTGAGCTCAAACCAGTGTAGGTGACAGATTTAATGTCCCACTGTATGGTGGGTACTACCAAACAACATCAATGGTTTTAAAAACAGTTATTAACAAGGAGCAAAAGTCTCGTCAGTAGCAATTTCAAGCATTTATTAGCATTTTATGCAGTATTAGTGTGGTTCTTGGAGCACTANACTCAAAGGACCGTAATGCCACAACGAGTTACAAACCTTAGATGAAACCTCAGCAACCAGATTCCTCTTATTTGGATCATCAAACTGAACAGTTGCTGGATCAACACCTTCTATTACAATTTTTCCTAACGTCATTCCTTCCTCTCTGATCTTTTTAGTAAGTGCTCGAGTGTCAATACCTAACCAAATAATTTAAATAATATTAGAGCACCAAATCTTCATATCCTTTGGGTTTGATTAATAACACAAGGCTGTGCTCTAAGGAAAATTGAAGGGAACACAGTGCTGTGAACCTGGAGGCTATTGCCACTGAAACAAAAGAAAGAACCTGTGAACTCCAGGGTGCCCAGCACATGATTTCTATGAAAAATCTAAGATTTTCTAGTCACCCAGGAGCAAAAGTTAGGTCCAAGGGACTACCGGGCACTACTAGAGAACAGCCTTGATGACAACAGTAAAAACGTTTTTTAACCAGTCAAAGTTGAGAGATGCATGTGCACCAGTTTAATTTTCATTTTTGTGCTTTACAGTATATCCATATGTTGACTGTGATGTTTGTTAACATTGTCGGTTATTATTCTGATGACTGATTGGAAGGGGACAAATACATGAAAGCTTATATAAACTTTTGGTATGACCTTATGCTGCTTTTATCCTTTTGGAACAAAAGAAGAAAAAAATGGTTACAGCTACATGTAGGCCATTTACCAAGTTCATGAGACAGAGGGTTGTCATTACTTGTATTTCTTGAATCGGTAGCTCCAGTGAGTAATGTACCCATTTTTCTATATTTCTTTTCTTTGACCAACTATATGGTAGCATCACTGCACCCATAATATGCACATCAAGTGAGCTCAAACCAGTGTAGGTGACAGATTTAATGTCCCACTGTATGGTGGGTACTACCAAACAACATCAATGGTTTTAAAAACAGTTATTAACAAGGAGCAAAAGTCTCGTCAGTAGCAATTTCAAGCATTTATTAGCATTTTATGCAGTATTAGTGTGGTTCTTGGAGCACTAGGGCAGGCCTTGTCTAGTAGTATCTGAGGTAAGTGCAGGCATTTTCTCCTCATGTGATTGTGATAGCCTGAAGTTAAATTCTTTATAACTAAGCACTGTTAGTACCCCCCTTATACAGCTGAACCTACTCCACCTTTTTTTTCCACAGGGTCCCTTGTCCAGGGTTTGCATTATTGTTTTTCTTCTACTAACTGAGTCTTCTGGCTTTAGTGTGATGAGTGCTTTTAGTGGGAAAGCTTGATCCTGCGCAGGCTGGGTTACCATTTTGGGCACACCAGTCAGGTTTTCTAGCGTGTTGGAGCAAGATTGTGTTTCTAGTTCCTTGACCCCTCACCTCCATTTGCGATGTGGGCATTAAGGTTATAATAGGTACATGTATGAGCCATGGTGAAGAATAAATTATTAACCACATGTATAAAGAATGTAGTTTCTGGTCACAGTTAGTCTGGGGTAAGGTAGAGACACTTGGAGCCTAATCTAGAATAGGAGAGCAAAACTCAGGGTTGTCATTAAGACCCAGGGGCCAGGGATTTTCCCCGGCCACTAAGAGAGTGGCCCCCGGCTACTTTTATTGGAAAATAGAAGAAAAATAGAACCAAAAGAAATCCCTAGCCATTTGATTCCCCGCCTGCTTGTTGTATTTACCCGGCAACTTGAAATCTTAGTGACAAGCCTGAAAACTGCAACTAACAATGGTCTAGGACAAGCTGAGAGTTCTAGGGTCCTGGGGGCACATACTTCTATCCAAAAATTTAAAGACTGATTATCCTCCCCCCACTCCCCCAGGTTAAATGAAACAGCCCTTTATAACATTCATTCTTCATTCTATGAGGGATAGAATGGATCCAGTCTGGTGATAAAACAAAAGATAACAAAGATCAACTCACCACTAATTCCTGGGACTCCCTCTTCAATAAGCCACTGTGAAAGTGATTTCTTTGCATTCCAGTGACTGTACTCCTCCACATAATCCCCCACTATCAATGCTGATGCCCAGATTTTGTCTGATTCAAGCTCAGTGGTTATTCCATGAGAATCTTTCTTTCCTTCTGGAACTCCGTAGTTTCCAATCAGAGGATAAGTTAGTGTGAGAATTTGCGATCTGTAAGATGGATCTGTAAGGGACTCTGGATATCCTACCATCCCTGTTTGAAATACTACAGTGTAGGCAAAAAAACTACATTATTGACAGTACGTGCATGTACGTTAAACAGATAAAATTTAATAACTGCACATTAGAGGTTTACAGACAGCAAAGGATAATACAGAAGACGGAGCAGCAGAGGAAGAGAAATATACTAACCGGTAATGTTATGCAAATAAATGTATCATTTTTTTTTACCCAAAAATTTTCACTTTTTGATCTGCTATTATTTTACAATAGCTCTAATTTTACACAAAGGACGTATTGTATTGTTATAAATGTTTAAGTATTGTTTTGTTATTAATGTTTACATTGTATCAAAGTTCGTGATATTAGTTTTCACACTAATTTTCACCAAAAGGAAAATTTGCGATGCAATCACAAAGTTTTTACACATGTACTAGTAAGATGAAGAGACTCAGAAAACAGCCAACATTTTTTGACACCACCACTGGTTTCCTCATGAAATGACACCTGAGGAATGAGCACATAAATTCCATACTACAAGACCGTTCATTTTGTTATCAGGTAAGGGTAGGGGGGCTGGTGGGATTTGAGGGGAGCTGTGAAAAACGTGGCTTTAAAGAGAAAGGGGAGTCAGAGGAAAATTAAAGGGAGGGTCACCAAAAAATTCCTCCAAATTTTGCAGTGACAACATTTGTAATAATATTTTTTTTATTGCAAACAGCCTACCAGAATGCCAAAGACCAGCATTTCTAACATTCAGAAAGTTCAGATTTTTCCGGGGAAGCATGCTCCTTGAACCGCTACTTTATTACGCATCAAAAAGCAATTATCCTAATCCACTACAAGGAAAAAAGCATACCAATCAAACGTTTCATTAGGGAAAAAATGTCAATCACCATTGAAAATGAACAGTCCCTAATCGCACAACACTACCCATGGGTAGTGATGTGCCACCAGTATGAAATTTCTGTGCTTATTCCTCAGACCTCATTTCACAGGAAACCAGTGGTGGTGTCACAAAATGGCTGTTTTCTCACTCTATAAGAAGTACTAAAACAAAAACGATGCCAATGATTACATGGACGCACGATAAAGTTGGCCCTAAATCTAGTAATAAACCAAGTTCCATTAAATTTTGTTTAATGCATTTTATGCACAAGTTAAGCTGTAAAGCAAGGTTTCCTTTAACTATGACTTTCAACAAAATTTAAATCAATTGAATGTAATGAATTGTACTGTTTGTAATAAAGTTTATTTTAAAATAGCAAAAACAAAAAACAAATTTAAATGTAGACATTTTGAACTAAGAAATATATTTATTGAATTCAAGGAGATAAATTCTCTAAGCATTTTTTATTATAGCTTGTGAATTTATAAAATCAACATTCCATCCAATGTGTACGTGTCGGCTAACACTTCCGGTAACCAGGAGCCTATTGTGATATGCTCCTGCGGTAACTGAGAAACATCCGGTTCCTTGCCTCACATACGGGGTCTTTTATAAGCATTTCAATCCACGTGCAACACCAGCGCACTGGTTAGATAAGTCGGAGTTCGAATTTATGTAAAAAAATCCCGATAACCTCAATTATTAATTCGTTTGATTTCCGATTGAATTTGTCCTATGACTCTTTTGGAACTAAATTTAAAGTGGCAAAGTAAATTTATTCGTTACTTCCAACCATTTTCCCAATCTCGAACACTACATTGTCAACACCGACAACAGCGAGTCACGAATCGAAACTCGCCATAACATACACTTTAATAGCCCAAAATTAACGCTATCCTCGAAAAAGAAGACCTAATAATGCTTTTCTAATTTAAATAAATAACAATAAAACAAAACAAATTCTAAAGAAGTCTGCTGAAAGTAAGCCAGTAGCTTCGATTCGAACAGGCGGGATGTACTGAAATCGACTCGACATATTACGTGTAAGGAGAAGTTTAGACCTACCCACTTCGCCAGCGACACACTCAGCGGCTCCAAACAGCTTTCCTTTATATATGGTGCCATCATCTAAGATTAAACTCGCCCGTTTTGCAGGATTTGACGACATTTTCTCCCTCCTTGAAAACTGTCAGCGTGGCTGGATCACCATTAGCCACACTGAAAAGCAGAGAAATTTGGCGCGTGATTTGTTTCGAGTACTGGTACCCAGCCTCCGCATACCTTCGGACGGTTAATTCGGACGGTGGGGACGTTTAAGTTTAAGGCCTGGAAAGAAGCAAAACAAAAACTGTAAGCTGTGCGTGTTGTGTCGCAGATGCAGAAGTTGTACGATGTATATCGAAAATTTTTAGATATTACTGTAAGTTTTAGCCTGCGAAATGGCAGAGATTTCTCCTTCGGGATAGGAAGGATTAATACATATATTAAAACCCAAAAAGCCATTGTAACTCTCCTCTTCATTCGGACTAACAGCATTTATTTTTTATTTGTTTTGCTTCATTTTGTTGGTTTACCCTTTTTACTATTTTTCTGTCAAAGGTGCCTCCTCCCCGAGTCTCTTAAATTGCCCAATTTTTTTCGGTCACGCGTTTCGTGACAAAAACGCACTTGAGTGGAGACTGGGTTTGAATGATAGCCGGGCGCCATTTTGGTTTGTTTCCTTGAGCAAGCTTCTTGACAAGAATCTGTTTCCATCGGATTGATTGAGGTAAATAAGTCCATGTTTTCGAACTTACCAATTTCAATGACATTTCGTTAATGTTTTAACCTCATTGTTTTATCTGTTGTGACTTTTCCGCTCGAAAATTTCTATGTTTTTCTACGGTTGTTTTGACCTCAGCTAACAGAGTATTGCACTTTAGTTTCTTCATTGTATACGCTTGGACAACTTCGCTTTGCGTTTTGTACCGTTCAGTTGTGCTTGCACGGTATTGCTGTAGTATCTGACGGTTATGCAGAATTTGCAGTGCCTTTAAATTTTGCATGAATTTCACATAATGTATGCTAGTAGTGCTGGCAACACCCCCTCGACACCAGATTGACGGATGTCGGTCTTCGAGGAGTTTTAAACTTGCAAAAAATAGCAAAAAAAAGCGTTGTCTACAGTTTGTGTACCACAGGAACTAAGTAGAGAAAGAACGTCGAACGTGTTTGCTATAAGATAACCTATGGCGGCCCTTCCCTGAAATTTCACTGTGGTAAATAATGAAATTTAAGTTATTATTTTGTAACAGTTGTACAAAACACATTTACAAAACGTCATATTCTATTCACTACATGAAGAAGACACAAGGGGTCGATTAAGTAAAACTTATTATGGTGCAGTTTACAAGCACAGCTTTTGTCTGTGCTCATAAAAAATACCCTTGTAGAAGTTTTATTGAATTGACAACCAGGAAGCAATACATTCAACTGAAGATATAAACGCGGGATATCATAAGTTACTACAGCTGCATAACAGTAACAGTCATTGCCGTTGATTCTTGGTAAATCTAGATCTTTTCCTCATAAAATAATATTTTACGTGATGAGGTCCCATTTTTGAGCCAGAACAACTTCAAAGTAACACAATTTGTTTGTTATTTATGGTATTACTATTCCCCAGTGACAACCTATAGAATACAAGATGATAATATTGGTGATTGCATTAAAAAGTTTTCCTTACTTTTATAATTATTTTTATTGCAGACATCATGACTGACTCTAAGTACTTTACCACTACCAAGAAAGGTTAGTAGGCAACTCTAAATATATTTGGCAAAAAAAATTCCTTTCCAGTCATCCACGAAAACTAGGTTTTCCTTTTGTGAAAGTAACACTTATTTATCACTTGCTCGATGGTCAAGAGCCCAGGCAAGTCATCTGCTCCCTAAATCATTAACTAATTATAAGACAAGCATTCAACAGACCCTGAACACAGGGTTGTCAAAAATAGCCAGCTGCCAGTGAAAGTCACCGCCTATTTGGTTAGTATCCGCCGGCTACTCTGCTTGGCATTTATTTACAGAGTTTTTTAAATAAAATATCCCTGGGCTGGCTGCTTACTTTGACAACTCAGTTGTCTACTTCAAAACTTTCTGGTAACCCTGGAACAAGCAAAATGTGAGAATAGTTTGTCCTTTGGACAAACTGAAGTTCAAGGTTTTTTTTTCAAACCTTGAATAAAATACGGATTTAGTTAAGTGGATTTAAACTTATAGTTAACAACAAGAAGCATATGTTGTTTGTGTAATATCAATTGCCATTGTTTTCTTGGCCTGTTTGTTCCACAAACAGTGGCCTGTCTTCAGTGGTCAGCTCCCTCCACTTTGCACAAGTTGAGTAATGTTGGTGGCTGGGGCTTCCCAGATGGCGAGGATCAGCGGTCATCTTTTCAGGTTCACCTCTCATGATCATCATCTGCTTGTCGGTTGTGGTCTTCAAGCCACATGATCCATGCTGACCTGAGCCAGAGCATTTTTTCTTCCATTATGTTTAAGCTTGAAGCAATACAATAATCGGCCTTACTTGTGGTTATGTAGATAATATATTATGTATTGCATTAAAAAATGTAGTTCAGAAAGAAAGCAAAAACTGTATGACTTTCACTTGTGCACTTAATTTTAGGGGAGATTTTTGAGCTCAAAGCCGAGCTAAACAGTGACAAGAAAGATCGAAAGAAGGAGGCAGTGAAGAAAGTCATAGCAAGTATGACAGTTGGAAAAGATGTCAGGTAGAATGCTCCTTTTGTGATAATTTGATATCAAAGTTGTGTAACCTTGGTAGTACCTTAATTGGTAAATGGCTGTCTGCATCCTCAGGTAGGATTAAGTGAATCCTGGGGTCAATTTGTTGAACTTTCACAAGTGTAATTTGTAATTTACAAATGTAGCTATTGTTTTAAGGTCTACTATGCTTGTAAATTACACTTGTTAAAGTTTTATAAAATTGACCCCTATGTTCTGATTGGCTACCCCAGCAGGAAAAGATGGGTCCATTTAGTCCACTCAGGATTTGCTGCTTTGTTCCTGCAAGGAAAATTTTGTTTTGGTAATATGACAAATCATCAATATGATAATTATTGAATAAGTCTGTTTAGTCAAGATGACTGGATATTGGCCTTATCATGTTCATCTTGATCCCGAAAAATGCAAGAAGGAACCAAGCCAACATCCAGCAACCTTGACCTCACACTAGGTCAATAACATCCGCACATCTGTTATAATAACATGGTCAATTATATGGTTAATTTAAAACGTTTCTCGAAGCATTTCCCCAGGAATGTCTGGTTTCAAATCATAGCTAAAGGGTCATTTTATTTTGTAGCTCCTTGTTTCCAGATGTGGTGAACTGCATGCAAACAGATAATCTGGAATTGAAGAAGTTAGTCTATCTTTATCTTATGAACTATGCCAAGTCCCAACCTGATATGGCAATCATGGCAGTGAATACTTTTGTCAAGGTCAGTTATTATCAATATATCAGTTCTAGTATGTTGTCAGCGTTAAATAATAACATTTTTGAAGTATTCCTCTAAATTTGAAGAATTTCAACCCAAATTATTTTCTTGTTTTCTGTTTTCTCATGGTATGGTAATGACTCTAAGGCAAAAGTTAACAAAACATTTACTTGTTTAAAAACTCCAAACTGAAACAAAAATAGTAAGGTGCTTCCATCTGGCTACATTGCAAAGGTGTAGGAAAATCAGACGCTACATCATAAATGATTATGGCTTACCCCGTCCCCCTGAAGATATCCTCAAATCTTAAGGTGGCACTTCTGCTAAGGAAGCACTTTCTTTCACCTGAAAGATGTCCACTTGCTGGAGGTTCAACTGTATGAACAAGCACAACTAACAGTGTTTAATTAATATATAGGATTGTGAGGACCCAAATCCCCTCATTCGTGCCTTAGCTGTTCGCACCATGGGCTGCATCCGTGTTGACAAGATCACTGAGTACTTGTGCGAACCCCTTCGTAAATGCCTGAAGGATGAGGATCCCTATGTGCGTAAGACAGCAGCTGTATGTGTAGCCAAGCTTCATGATATCAATGCTCAGTTGGTGGAGGATCAAGGATTTCTTGACTCACTGAGAGATCTCTTGTCTGATTCAAATCCTATGGTGAGTATATGTGTACATACAATAGATTGAACAAGCACTGTATTCAAACCAGTTATTTTCACATTTACTTCCAAGAGCTCATCATCCTTGCTTAGAAAATGAGCAGTCTCAATTTCTTTCCTATGGTATCCAAAAATAAACTGCATCCATACAAATGTATATCCGTGGTTACTGTGTGGTATTTGATGCTTTTTGAGAAAGTCAATTTTTTTTTCTTTCTCTTATTGATAGTTCCTGAATTCCGTGGCAGAGGGTCATTGATACATTAATTTTTGAAATAACTATGTATTATTTTATCAGAAAACAATGTTTATCAAAAGGAATCAATTTCATTATTATTATTATCATTTTCTTTTTTGTCCTTGCTATTGTATTGAGGGCTGTCACTAAGATTTCAAGTTGCCGTTTAAACACGTCAAATAAGCAGGGAATCAAACAGCCAGTTTCTTCTATTTTCCTATGAAAGTAGCCAGGGAAATCCCTGGCCCCCGCCTCTTAATGACAGCCCTGTATATTAGCTCAGGGTCTTTTTCAACATTATAGTTCTATGTAATAAGCTAGATGTATCTCCAGTATTATTCTCCCCCTTTGCTTTGCAAGCAAATTAAATAGCAGTCAATTTGAAAGAAGAATCTAAATGTTTATCCCAATTTACTTAGGGCTATTTTCCAGGCACTCCTTTATTATTAAAAATTATTATTATAATATATGAAGTGATTATGTTATAAATGATTATTCATAATGATATATATTTTCAGGTTGTAGCAAATGCAGTGGCTGCCTTGTCTGAGATAAGCGATGCTTCCCCAACAGCAGCTGCCATGATGGAAATCAACTCACAAACCATAAACAAACTGCTTACAGCACTAAATGAATGTACTGAGTAAGTAGCAGTTCTTTCAACAACAACCCAAATTCAAAGAAAATATTTTTCACTTTTATAGTTCATTACTGCAAACCTAAAGTGTATTAAAAGAAAACCTTCTGAAAATCAAAGTAAGGCGGC